GGATTCTGTAACATCTAAGAACTAAATGACTGGGTACATAGTTATCTACTAATAATTCTTATCTCTAAATTAAGCAATAGTAGTTTTTTTTTAATTCTTAATTTGTTAATGGGTTGTCTCAAAACAAATGAGTCAGCTTTGGTTCATTTCTATGTGATTTATAATCATGTAACAGATGGTAGTTAAAGATAAAAAATTTAAAGTCAACATACATAAGATAGAGTTAAATTATTTAATAAAAATCTAAAAACAAAGGTTCTAGGTCTTGCAAATACACACAAAGAAATGTCTACTCTCAAGCAAAAAAACAGAGTTCAAGAAGAAGAATCTTGAGTTTACTCCATAATCATTTCTCGGAATCAGTTTGCATCTCCCTGTAACTGGCAGCTCTATTGTTGAAGACATTAAGAAGACAGTCACAAGCTCGTCTTGAAGATGGTCTATCCTGAGGATAAGTCTTTGTGCACTGAATTGCTATTTCAAGAACCTGATAAGCTGCTTCTTCTTCGTGGGGTAGTAGCGGTTTAAGCTCTGAATCAATCAGCTTCTCTCTCGCTGTAGGCATCTCAAGAACCTTCTCTACCCATCTAACCATATCAGTCTCTTCATCAAACACTTCCTCCGTTGGCATTTTACCAGTCACAATCTCCATCAACACTATTCCCATACTATAAACATCGCTCTTCTCAGTCGCCTTCATCGAGTAAGCATACTCTGTGAAAATAAGAACATTAGCTTTTAAAAGTTAGAATCCAAGTTAAGAAACTCGAGAAACGACATGTTACCTGGCGCAATGTAGCCATAAGAGCCTGCAAAGAGAGTATTTGATTCTGTGTTTGTGTCACAATTCTCAGTTAGGATCTTAGCGAGTCCGAAATCTCCTAAATGTGCTTCCATGTTGGAATCAAGAAGCACATTACTTGATTTGATATCGCGGTGAACAATCGGAGGAACACAATCATGATGAAGATACTCTACTCCTTGAGCTAAACCAACTGCTATTTTCAATCTTGTTCCCCAATCAAGAATCTCCTTCTTCTTCTTCTCGCTCGCGTGAAGCCAATCCCATACGCTTCCATTCTCCATAAACTCATAGATCAAAAGGTTCAAGCCTTCTGCTTTGCTGCTGCAGTAACCCATTAGCTTAACCAAATGTCTGTGTCTGATTGTTCCAAGAGTCTTCACTTCTCTGTTAAAGCTCTTATTCGACATCAAATCATCTTTCCAAAGAATCTTCTTCACAGCAATCGTCTCTCCGTTCTCCAATTCCGCTTTGTAAACTTTCCCTGAACCTCCTGATCCAATCATGAACTCGTCGTTAAGGTAATGTGTAGCTTCCATGATGCTCTCCCACTTTATATCTGACTTTGCACCTCCATTTCTAAAGAGAGGAGCTTGTGATGAAGAAGAAGAAGAGTTTGATGAGTATTTGCTGTTTCCGCCTCGCGATTTCTTGAAAAGATCATGATTTTGCTTCAAGAAGAGGATGATTACAAGTACCACCAAAGCAATCGCTGCTAATGAAGCAATCGCAGAGATTATAACCACGGTTTTCGGACTAAGACCTCGTTGATTCTTGTACGGCCCCGCTCTGTCGCAGTGACTAAGAGGGCTTCCACAGAGACCTACATTTCCTACGAAGGAACCGGCTTGCCATTTAGTGAACTGTTTCTTCAATTTGCCTTCGAGGTTGTTGTAAGAGAGGTTGAGATATCCCAAACTTTTCATTTCCCCGATTTGACCGGGAACTTCTCCTACAAGGTGATTGTGAGACAGATCAAGAGATTCAAGCTTATGTAATGTCGAAATCGTAGAAGGGATATCTCCTGTAAAGTTGTTGTAGCTGAGATCTAAAGCACTTTGAAGATCTTGTAGCTGTCCAATCTCAACAGGGATTTCTCCGGATAAGGCATTTCTCGATAACCGAAGCTCATAAAGCTTGCTCAGCTTCCCAATGGATGGAGGAAGATGACCTGAAAACTGATTCTTTTCAAGGTTAAGTACAGTGAGAGCTTCCAAGTTTCCAATCTCTTGTGGAATCGAACCGTTAAGTGAATTGCCATCAAGAGATAACACAAGAAGCCTGGTTAAGTTGAACAGATCAGTAGGGAGAGAACCGATAAACTTATTCGAAGAAAGCTTGATCTCTCCCAATAACGGAAGCTTTCCAAGCCATGGAGGTATAAACCCTGAAAGTAAGTTACTGTTCAGATCAATATGTGTCAGATTCTTGCACAAACCGAGCTCTACCGGTATGGTTCCTGTGAGAGAATTGCTTGAGATATCCAATAAAGAAAGCTCGCGGATCTTCCCAAATGTCCAAGGGATTTTTCCTGTGAATTGATTCTTCCCCAACCTTAAGCGATCAAGATTCGGTGACTTCCCTAGCTGAAGAGGTATATCTCCCTCGAATTCGTTTTCCGTGACATCAAACGAAAGATAAGCGCTTGAACCGCACAACGGACTAATCGAACCATTAAGCTTGTTGCTGGAGAAATTGATCCTTGTGAGATTCTTGAGGTTGATAAGTGAATCCGGAAGATTCCCTTCAAGAGAATTGTTGTAAAGGTGTAACTGTTCTAACGCCTTTAAGAACCCGAACGAGGAAGGAATCGAACCCGAGAACTGATTATCGGCTAAATCCAAAATCGTCAGTTGGTTARAGTTACCTAAAGTGGCGGGAATGTTACCATTAAGCTCGTTCTCTCTCAAGTGAAGGAAAGTAAGCTCTTTTAATCTTCCAATTAAAGAAGAAAGCTCGCCACTGAAATGATTCCCGAACATATCGACCGACTTCAGATTCGTGCAATTCCAAATCTCATTCGGGATTTCACCCGAAAACCGATTCTCGTATAGATACAGAACCTCCAATTTGGTTAGCGATCCAATTTCTTTAGGTAACTTGCCTTCCAAGTCATTGTGAGACAGAGCAAGCTCTTTTAGATTCGTTAGGTTAGATATCAATGGAGATAACGTACCTTCCACGCTACTGTTGTGAAGAGACAAAACAGTGAGATCGACGAGATGAAACAACGAATCCGGGATCGGACCAGTAAGCGTATTGTTCGACAAATCAAGCCCCTTTAATGACTGACATTTACTGATTTCCGACGGAATTTCGCCGGAAAGTTGAGTTTCAGACAAACCCAGTTGCTCCAAGCTTGTGTTGTTAGAACATAAACTCTTTGGTAATGAACCAGAGAGACGATTTTTCGACAAAACCAAACTAACAAGATGATTCATGTTCCAGAATCCGCCAGGGATTCCTCCGGTGAGATCATTCTTAGACAAATCAAGAGTTTGAAGATTCACCAAATCGGTTAATCTCCTCGGAATCAAACCTTGAAGCTTGTTACCAACCAAATTAAGGTATTGGAGACTGCGTAAATCACCGAGTTGACTCGGTAACTCACCGGAGAAGATGTTGTTTCCGAGATTGAGTATCTGAAGGTTCACGAGTTGACTCAGCTCCACCGGTAACGACCCGTTGAGACGGTTCACCGCCGCGGTAAAGAGAGTTAGGCTCGTGCAGTTACCTAACTCGGGAGGAATCGGTCCTTCGAGGTTGTTATCTTGTACAATCAAAGCCTGGAGCTGAACGAGACGACCGAGTTGACTCGGTATTAAACCGGTGAGTCTACACGAGGCCAAAGCGAGTGTCTGGAGATTGACGAGATTCCCAAACGTCTCCGGGATGGTTCCGACGAGTTCGTTGTCACCGAGCTTTAACGTCTTGAGGTTAAGGAGAGAACCGAGTTGACTCGGTATTGTACCACTGAGTTGGTTAGAGAAGAGAAGCAGCGATTCCAAGGAAGAAGAGAGGTTGGAGAGAGTAGTGGGGATGGGTCCCACTAAACCGTTGGAAGATAGATCGAGTTGGGTTAGGTTATTAAACCGGCCAATCGAAGGAGAGATTGAACCGGTTAAGTTTAAACCGGAGAGATTTAAACCGACGACGAAACGACCACCGCATGTGACTCCGGTCCAGTTACAGAAATCGGAATCATCGGAATTCCAATTCCGGAGAAAGTTTTCGCCTTTTGGGTTTGTGAGAAAAGATTTCTTTAACTCGAGAAGGGTTTGGAGATCGTCGTTGGTTTGACCCGAACCGGACCCGATTGAAAAACAGAGCAAAAACAGAACAAGAAGAAGAGGAAGAGAGTTTTGCTGCATTTTTTTTTTTTTTAGGAATCAAGAGATGAGTGAAATGAAGGTTTTTTGAGTTTTCTTCTGGTGATTAGTGAGGGTGGTAGTGAGACTAGTGTTGGAAACATAGAGAATTTAAGACAATTGTTTTGGTCTTTTTTCGTTTTTGAAGAAAGATGATTGGTCGTCAAGAACGGTGCATGGGGA